TCCTAGACAAGACCCATTTCTTGGGTCCCCAAGTGGCCTAAGTTGTGGGATGCATCCCTGGAGCCAGTCTACTTGGGTTCAAATCTTGGCTCCAGCATTACCTTGCTGTATGACCTTTGCTGAGGGGCGTAGCTCTCTGGACCTCAGGAAAAGGTTTGATAACAAAACTTACTAAGCAGGGCTGTTGTAGGGATTTAATGAGCTGCTGTGTGGAAGCCAGTGACTGGGGCAAGTGTTGAGCACCTTGTCAAACATCAGCTGTTATTCGGGTTATGCTGTGGGGAGGAAAAAGATTCCTGAAGCACTTCTAGTAGTGGTGGTTGTGTGCCCTGGAGTCAGTTCCAACTCATAGCAACCCTGTATAGAGAGTTTCCAAGGCTGTAATTCTTTATGGGAGTAAAAACCCTCATCTTTCTCCTGAGGAACGGATGGTAGTTTTGAACTACTGACCTTGAGGTTAGGACCCCGACTTGTAACAACTGTGCTCCAGAGCTCCTCCTGAAACATTTCTGGTTGGGAGAAATCCCTTGGACCACTCTTTTGGGGTTGGCAGTCTGAAATATTGGCCCTGCCTCCTGGCTTGGTTGTCTGTGTTACCCCACTGCCTGCTACTTACTCCAGTGTTGTGGCACCACCTGCTCGGGGACTTGGGGGTGTTGACTTGCAACACTTAGAGGTCTAGTATCTACCCTGTAAGTGTGGGCGGACATGTAGAGGCACCTAGAGAACAGTGCTTTCTTCTCCTGGGGGCACTGGAAATGGAGGCACTGTCCCTATTTCCCCCCTTACTTTGACTGGTGGACCAGTATGGAAGGGGTCATGACAGCCTTCTGGGGCCTGGCATTGGCAGATGTTTCAGCTGTCCTTGTCAGGCCATGTAGATTATGGGCCTAGGACTGGTCATTTCTAAACCTAAAGTCTTGGTTTGATCTGTGCCAGCTGATGCCACTCCTCCTTCCCAGATCCTGGAAGGTAATGATCTTGCCTGGTTCCTAGATTCATTGAACTCTTGGCTGAGCAGGGTCCTGAGGTGGCTGTCTCCACTACAGCTTTACACGACAGAACTGGTAGGGCACTGTGAGACCTCTTTGTCGTTGGAAGGAACAGGAGGGCCAGTCTTAGGACCAGTTCATACCTGGAAGCTTTCTGTTAACTCTTGAAGACAGATCCTGGGTGACCCTACTAAGTGGTGGGTCTGGCAATCTGATATGGATCATCGCTGGTGCTATTTCTGGCCCTGCTCTTGTTCTGAGCACAGATGCTGTCCAAAGAAACGATTAATATGAGGAGAAAAGGGAGCAGAGAGATAGAAATGGGAGGCCCAGGCTGACATTCCAGAGTTAGGATCAAATTAAAATTCTGTTTTGGACCACCTTCTGGGTCCTTGACAACCTCAGGGGGCCATGTATTCTCCTGGAGCCCAGGAAGATCTTCACTGCCACTCTATGGCTTGTCTTAGGGCCTGACTTGTCTCCTTGCTGGTGACTGGTTCAGCTGCCTCCCAGCTCCAGCCTGGTATGTGGCTGTTTGGCAGGTGGTGGGCTTGCTGAGTAATGTCCTGGACTTCTTAGTCACTGGCCATGAGGCAGGAACAATAAATCCTCACCTGTGTAGCTGGGAGATTGCTCAGACAGGAAGGGAGCACCTGTGCCCCATATATCTCCAGAATCCCAAGAGTCCTGTCTCCATAGAAGCTGCCTCCCTCTACTGTGACAAGAGACTCCCTTTCTCCAGGTGGATTGAGAGGAAGTTTGCTCACAGTACAAGACTTGTGTGTATATGCATGTATGAACCATTCTTGAACATACCCCAAGAGATTTCTGTGTAGGTAGGCTCAGGGAGCCCTGAACCTTCCATCTTAGGGCCCTGGAAATAGAAAAGGAATAAGAGGTAGAGGGGACATGAGGATGCCTTCAATTACAGTGTAGCACAATACCACCCTTGTGTGGGCATTTGGGTTCAGAGAGGAGGGGCTGCTTGGCAGAGAGGAGCAGAAAACTATGAGAAAGAAGACTGAGCTGAAGGGCAGGAGTTTCCCAGGCAGCAGGAACTCTGTAGGGTTGAAGGGCATTCCAGGCAGAGGAAGTAGCTTACGCAAAGGCAGGAAGCATGGGAGGACATGGCATGTTTGGGGAGCTACAAATAGTTCCATGTGGGTGTGTGTGGGGGTGTGGTGGGAGAGGAGGATGGCAAGGCAGGCTGGGCTACAGCCTGGATCTGTCCCTCCCTCTGCCACACAGATGCTCGCTCAGTGGGTACCTGCCCACCTTGGCTCTGGCCCCTGCTGGGGTCTGGCCCTGCAGAGAAGGAGTGTGAGGTGAGTGTGTGGACAGATCTGGACAGTGTTGTGTGGACCACTCACATGCCAGACTCAGGAGTTCAGTTTCATTCCAAAGGTGAATTGGAAGCAGCTGAGAAGTTCTGAGTGTGAGTGATTGCATGTGTTCCTGGTGCCCTTTGGGACCCCCTTGAGGTCTGCTGAAGTGACCCCCAGAAAGACTCTGGCAGTGAACCCAGAGGACAATGGATTGAGATGAAAGGTCAAGTGATTCTTCATCCATTTTTCCAACTAACTTTGGCAGAATGTCTCTTCTGTACAGCACAGGCTGCTAGGGTCAGGATCGTGAAGATGGACTTTGCAGCAGGCACTGCCCCTTGGCCTGTCGGCAAGAGGCCTGCTGGAATCTGCCAACCCCCAAATCTGCCCAGACTCATCTTGGGGCGTGAGAGGGGCAGTTGCACCATCTAGAGATGAGAGCTGGTACTACAGCCATCCCCTCTACCTACGTGGAGTTGGGAGGAACTTTGAGACCAAGATAAGTGACTGCTGCGAGTTAGATTTGACCTGGGCAAGTGTATATAGCATAATTTTGATGCTGGGAAGGAGGGGCAGGGAGAGGTGCCACTGAGCCACCCTGAAAGGTTTCCTTAGAGGGTGTTTGAGCCTGAAAGATGTGCAGGGAGGATCTGCATATTAATTTGGGTGGATGGGATTCTAGGCAAAGGAACAATCATTTGGCCTTTATCACAATGCCTAACTGCCAACAATTATGGACATTTGCTGAATGCTGGACCCATGCTGCTCCTTCATGTATAGGATCACCCTAATTGACAGTTCTGTAAGTAGATGTCAAGGAACTGGGGCTCCAAGAAGCCAAGTAAGTGACTTGTCCATATCACATGACCCAAGATTCGACACCTGTACGTGTCTTTCTCCAGAAGTTGTGGTCCTGAACAGTGCACCATGTTGTCTGTCTCTAAAACCTTAAACCAGGCTTGATGTTACTGGATTAAGGGGAACCAGAGCCATGGGCAGGGAGCCACTGCAGAGGCTGCTCATATTTGAAAACTCAGAGTCCCTGGTTAGCATGCTTGATTTCTAACTGAAAGGTTGGAGGTTTGAGTCTGCCCAGAGGCACCTTGGAAGAAGACCTGGCTGTCTACTTCTGGAAAATCAATCGTTGAAAAGCGTATGGAGCACAGTTTGATTTTGAAGCATCCTGGGTCACCTTTAGTTGCAGTCTACTTGATGGCAACTGGTTTTAATAGATTCAGCTAGTGCCCAAGTCCCAGGCAAAGTATGATTCCAAGGATTGGACTAAATTGGTTAGAATTGGGGAGGCCAAGTAGGGCTGAAAAGAGATTGCTGTAGTATCTTAGAAAGGGAAAATGGGAGGACAGAGGTAAAAATGAATTTGTAGTGCTGCAAGGGTGGACTGGGGAGAAAAGGTAGAGGCAGAAGGAGGGACCTGTTTAAATTTAGGGGTCAGTGGACTGTGGAAGCAGAAGAGAAAGGGGTCCTAAAATCAAGGAATGAGAGCTTGAGGTCTTTGGTGAGTCTCCTGGATTTAGGACTAGGTGCCTCTGGGACCCAATCTGAGCGCTTGTGTAGATTCAAGATGCAGGAAGGCTGACATGGAGCACAACAAGAAGAGGGAACAACTGGGACTACCTGATGTCAGGAATAGTGGGTGCTAGGCCTTGCAAGCGTGGGTCGGGCGTACGAAGTATTGGAGGCTCACATAAAAGCCCACAGAGTGAGATTTCTGGGAGTCCAGAGAGATGAGGTCTGGGGAACAGAAGTGCAGGTAGGTGCTAGGGACCAGAGAGACTGGGAGGGGAATCAGCTTTTGCATACTTAGCTAGGAAGCAACTTGGAAAGCAAGGCAGGGTCTGGAATGGTCATGGGCTGGAGAGAGTGTGTGAAGGCCCAGGTGATGGTGGATGACACTGCCTGAGGGAGTAGGGAGAATGCCCTTGCACGTATTCATCAGCAATCCAGAATTCAGTGTGATCCCTTGTCCTGACTAGTCTTCTTACAGCACCCTTCTCCCAGCCATATGCCAGGTCCCCATCCATGCCCCTGTATCCGTGAAAACCAGATAGTCATAACACTTGCTTTGCTGAAGAATTCTGGGCTCTTTTTCTTGCTTCCACCTTCCAGTTTTGCTGGGACCTACTCCTTTGCTTGTCACAGTTTCTCTGCCAGTGAAGACTGCTTTCCTCCAGGATATAGGAGGGAGATGAGCTAAGAGCTGGGCTGGATCCAGACCCCAGGATCCACTGGCCTATAGGTCCACCTGTGGCCTAGGGGGTGAGGATGGGCAGAGGGTCACATCAGGAGATAAGAAGGTTCTCTCAGTGGTGCTATTGATAAGCTGTGTTAAGTAGGAATATGTGTGGGGGCATGAGAGATCAAAGGCCTTCTCCATCCTCCTCCCTTTCCCAGGCTCCTGGGGGGCAGGGACAAAGTCATTCCCTACCATGACTCCCAGGTGTCCAGCATATTTGATGAAGGAATAAATAAAGGACTAGATATGAGGAAGATACAGGTAGGGGACCACAGATGTGTGCTAGCAGGGAAAATTGCTCAATTCTTAAATCTGGGACTGTGGCTTGTCAGAGCTGGTAGTTCTGCCAGGCTTAAGCTGGTGTGGAGGTGAAAGTGTGGGTACCTCTTTGCTTTCCTCAACCTTGACATTTCATCTCTGCTTCCCCAGGTACCTTCCAAGAAGTGTCGCTGTGCAGTGGGCAGCATCCTGAGCGAAGGTGAGGAGTCGCCCTCCCCTGAGCTTATCCATCTCTACCAGAAATTTGGCTTCAAGGTGTTCTCCTTCCCGGCACCCAGCCATGTGGTGACAGCCACCTTCCCCTACACCACCCCTGTGTCCATCTGGCTGGCTTCCCGCCGTGTCCATCCTGCTCTGGATGCTTATATCAAGGTGAGATACAGGCCTGTGTGGGTGAGAACAGGGAGGACTGCCCAAGGCTGCCTGGATTGTGAGGGGGAGGTGGTCTTGGGAGGACATCATTATAGGCCCCTGTGGAGCGGGAAGGATGGACAGAGGCTGTGGCATCTCTTCTAGAGCATCTCATGAGAGCTCAGAGAGCTGGCCTGTTTGTCCAGCTCTGGCTTTGACCTGAGACTTAATGTTTGAATGGCATGTCCACTTTGTCCCTATCCTGTTGAAAACCTGCAGAGCAGGGGTTCTTAGGCTTCCAGCTACTGAGCAGGTCTCAGGTGCCCATGTGCTTCATAGGTTCAGGCCTATGAGTCCTTAAGGCCCCTAAGCCAGGCTTGCCCCCTAAATCCAGCAGTGGGACAGCAACAGTAGGCCCTGTCTCCTTCACTTTTTGGACTGACAGCTCAGCCTACCTGGAGAAAGGAGAGCCCGCCACAGGAGGTTTGATGGGGTCTTTGTTCATAGAGAGTTTTACAAACTTGCCCCATTGCATATCCCTTCTCCTCTAAAATCGCTTGTAAACTTGGGTACCATGGAAATTACCTAAGTTTGTACTTGGAAGCCATTGTTTGTTCTTTCATTCAGCTTTCTCATTGTGTGCCCTTTGTTGTCCTAGGCACAGTGAAACTTTGACGTGTGAAATAGACATGAAATAAGTGGTGGAGATAGGTAATAAATGTCACACAAACAAGGTACATGCTAGAAAAGAACAGGATGCTGTGATGAGATAAGTCAGGGGAACCCACTTGGACAGGGTGGCCTCTGAAGAGGACTCTCAAGGCAGCGTCCTAGAAGCAACCTTGGTAAATGTTTCAGGTAGAGCAGGGTTAGGAGCATTGAGTGTCACTGCAGAACTCCAACCAGGACAGTTCCATGATCTGAGCCATGTCTATATGAGATGGGCTGTCCCCAACCTCCTGGCCAGGGTGGGCCCAGGTGGCTTGCTTAGGAGGCTGTTAAGAATCTTAGTAGAGGCTTGGGCTAGGGTAGTGGCTATAGAGATGCAGACCAGGGGAAGCCTTATGGTCTATTTTGGGGTCAGATCTGGTAGACTTGTGAGTGGGGTGGATAGTGGGATGGCATGGGGAGGGGAGAGGCAGGAGAAATCACAGAGGGTGCAGTTCCTTGTGACTGTACAAAAAGCATTTGGTGATGCTTTTCACTGAGATGTGGGGGATGGAGGGAAGACATGATTTGAGGGGCAAATCCATTCTGTCGGCTTCAGTAGGAGCTGCCTAATGAGAGAAATCAGGTTGGGGTGTGATGTGCATGTTCAGAGAGAGGGTTGGTCTGGTGGATCTGTTTAGGGACATTGATATTTAACTGGGAGCCTGCCCCAAGTACCCTAGCCTCTTTGGACCAGGTAGGCAGTTGATGGATTGCCTGTGATAGGCAGAATTGCGCAGCAGGTGTGGCCAGTGTGGCTGAGGCCAGAGAACAGAAAAAAAAAAAAAAGCATGAATAGGATCTTAGGGTACTGAAGGACCTTTGTGGCTTCATTCTCCACAGCATCTGGGGGAGAGAGTCTGACCCTGATGGAAATGGGAGGGAGTTCAGACAGGACCTGGGGAAGAGGGTGCAGGAATCTTGTGTCAGGGTAAGGAATAAATAAATGAGGTTCTGGATCACCAGCTGTGACTTTATTGGCCCAGGACAGGAAAGGAAGAAACAAGGTAAAGAAACAGGAGGGCTGTTGTGGTCAGGAGGGCAGGAACCAGGAGAGTACAGAGATGGGTTTCCTTTGTGAGCTGAAGGGTGGCAGTCAGGACGGGAGCTGAGACACAGGGTATGCTTACCTGGAGCGTGGGTTGGGGCTGGAGGCTGAGAGGCAGGAAGAGGCAGAAGTTGGAGGTGAGGACAGGAAAGGGGAAACCTGGGTCTCACCCATCTCACCCAAGGAAGGACAGGTGTGTGTTGTCTCAGGCATTGTCTGTGTCATCCTTAACCCCAAGGGACAATCTGGACGAGGACCCCTGGGAAGAGATTTCCTGGGCTCCAGACCTCAGAACAGAACATGGGCATGTGGTGTGGCGGCAAGCAACTCAGCCATCAAAGCCTTTTCTTGGCTCCGGGGTTTATTTTTAGACACCTTTGTCCAAATTTCCCGGCCCCTGACAGCTTCACAAGTTGCCTGGTTTTGACGTCACCTCTTTGATGAAAGCCCTTCCTCTCTTTCCCTCCTCCTGTGGGAGCCTGTCAGCCAGGTTCTGGACTTGGAGTCTCCTGGGGTGGGGACTGGAACAGGGGCAGTACCATCCTCTCTCCTCTCTGGGATGAAGAAACCAGGGGTTTAGGGGAAGAGCAAAGCACATCTCTCTCAGGTGTCTAGGAGGCATACTTGTGTAGGCTAGACCACCAGCTGTGAGGGTGAGGGGCTCTAGGCTACCTGAAGTGGAGGAATGACCTAAGGTCCACTGCTTGTTTCTAGGAAGGTCCCCTTTGCTCTTGTGTCTAGTCTAATCTTGTGCCCTAGGGAACAAAGCCTGGTAAGGTGAGGACGAGATTGTCTGTTTGCTGCTCTTTTCCTGCCATGGATATGGGCTGGCACTATACCTCTCAGTCCAGGAGACTGAGAGAAGGGAATACAAGACTCCCATCCCTGCCCTGGGGTCAGAGAAAGGAGGCTGCTAATGAGGCTCTGTGCGCTTCTTGCTCCCAGCCATGACAGCTGGCTGTCTTTAGCCAAGTATGTGCGCGCGCATGTATACACTCCCCCTCTCTACCTCTCTCCTCTTTCTGGATCTGAGGCTGAGACTGCCACGGAGGTGCTTCAAATGGAATGACAGCAGCCGCTGACTTTTTTTAAAAAGGAAGGGTGAGGGAGACCAAAAGGAGGGAAAGGAGGGCTTAGCCCACTTGCCTATCTCCCCAGGCCCAGGAGAGGCTTGGGAGAGCTTTGGTGGGAGGGGGAGGGCAGCTGATATCCTGGAAGTTGCAAATGTGCCTGAGCTGGGGCAGGACTGGCCTCATAGGACAGCAGTGGTAGGGAGTGTCTGTTCAAGGAGCCCAAAGGGAAATGTCTGGGGATTGTGGAGGGGTGTCCAGATCCTAGCTTTGTGGTCTGTGTGGTAGCCCCTGGCTCTCTGGCCCACTTTCCTAGTTCAGTAAACATGAACTGTAGGGGTTGGACCATTGTCTTTCTTTGCATAAATGACTAGAGGACCCAGGCAGAGGACCCTGCAGGCAGTGTGTGTGCCAGGGGTAACTGGGTGCTGTGTGACTTAACACCCTGCATGGAAGATACTGCAGCTTTGTCAGACTGCTCCACTGCACAAGGAGGTAACTTCTAGGGCAGAAGGAGACCACTCCCTAAGTTCCAGGAAGGAGACAGCTTTAGGAAGCTTTAGAAGAGAGCTGAACTTCCTTGAGATTCTAGGACCACAGAAATGATGGGACCCAGATGTCAGCTCAGAACAATGGGCAGTGACCATGAAATTGACCTCAGGGTGGAATCAGTCCTACTGAGTGTCCAGGTAAGGCTCTGGGCACATGGAGCGGACCAGAGCTCAGTGATAGGCCTGGGGACCATGTATGAAAGGTCCCTGAACATAGTGCTGGGTTCATGTCTCTCGGTGGCAGTTGGGGGCATTTCAAATGTTGGACTAGTCCAGCCAAATCTTCAATGCCCTGACTTTTTTACTGTTTCAAAAAAGGGTGAGGAATACTCTCCATCTATCCCCTTCCCTGTTGTGATGCTATAGGATAATGCGTTGGACCTCAAGGTCAGTGGTTCAAGCCCACTAGCTGCTCCTTGGAAACCCTATATGTGGTTGCTCTTGAGTTGGAAGCAACTCACAGGCACTTAACAACAACAGTAACCCCCTTCCCTGGAATCTTTGTGTGGCACTGTAGGATAATCACCTGACTATTCACCACAAGGGTGGTGGTTCAAACCCACCAGCCGCTCCTCAGAAGCCCTACACAGGATTGCTATGAGTCAGAACTGGCATGAATCAAAGCTGACTTACTGGCACTTAACAACAATCCCCTTCCCCAGGGTCTCTGCTTCTGGCAATTTTCAGGGAAGGACCCAAGCTGAGGGGGGAACACAGGGCATTGTCCTCATAGTGACTGTCCCATCAGGCTCTAGGAGTACAGGCAGGCCCTGAAGGCCAGACATGAACTCTTTCTTCATGGAATTGGAAGGAAGTGAGTAGGGGATTGCTGAGGGGAGGCTAGTGATCCAGTGAGGGAACCGTGACAACAAAGTTCTGAGGTAGTTGGGTCAACTTGGGTTGTTATGCCAGGATTTAAAGTAGGGGAGGGAGCCTAGGGGATCTGCTCTGAGGTTCCCTTGTGGCTGGCAGCTGGAGATGGGGTTGTGCAGCTCTCACTCGGACCCTTACCTGCTTTAATTGGAGCAGCTCTGCATCTGGACTGTACAAACCAGATGGCCTCATGAGCTTTTGTTTGGAGGAGGGCTTCTGGGGCTTTACTCAAACCAGTAAAACAGAAAACGTCTGTCCTAAGAGTGGTACACAACTGGACAGATGCCCCCTCCACCCCTGGTCAACTGCATGTCTGTTCCAGGTCTTGAGGGTGCTGTGGCAGCTTTAGAGTGAGTGGAGCTGGGAGGCACGGGGACCCATCCCTTGTACAGGCATGGGTGGCAGGTATTCCTGTGCGAGCATGATGGATTAGAAGCTGGACCTGGAGGGGAGCCGTGAGAGCCTCTGGGTGCAGACCTCTCTGGGGTGGTTCAGAGTGAGTTCCTGAATGATGGTGATCAGAAGTAGTGCTAGGGGAAGCCAGCTGGGAAAGAAAGCCAGGGGCCTGTGGAAGTGGGTCAGCCTGTTGAGCTGTGGGCCCAAGGGAACTTGTAGCAGCGTAGTCAGAGCCTGGGTCCTATTCCATAGACCTGTGCTTGTTTCCCCTTAGGCTGTCTCAGTGACTCTCAGGGAGTCAGGGGTGGGCTGGACAGTATGGAGGGGTGGGGGGAAGCTCAGTCCATGCTGAAGCCAGAACACCAATGGAAATCC